AGTGGAGGACCCAACCCCCTAGTTGCAAACTGCATCTTTTGGCTAATAAACTATAGATGAAGGTTTTGAAGGGGGACCAAATTTAAACTAATCTTTCGTTTTCCAATTTTCATGCCAAGGGTAAACTATTTTTTCGATACAGTGATTTAGATTTTCTTCCAACTTTTAGTGGGTAAAAAGAAATTATAAAATGCTTTAGCCCCGATGCAGGGCGTGGCAAAATATAAATTTTGAACATTTTTTTAAGGGGAAAATTTTGGGGTTTTAAAAAAAAAATTTAGGGCCCTTTTTAAAATATAAAAATTTTACAAATTTTAAAGAATTGTGTATATTTTTTATTTAAAAAAATTCATCTGTTTTATTGATCGTTTTTTTAATTTTCCCCTTTAGGTGTAAAAGGTTAAAATCATTACAATTGTTTTCAAAGTGTACGGTGGACTTAATGCCCGTTTAAAAGGTTTTTTAAACCTGGGGAAACGAAGCGTCTTCATGAGTTGAACCCCATTGCCCCCCACAAAGGGCCCCTTTGGGTTTTTTGTGCTTTTACTTAAGTATTACACTTGAAGAGTTACCTTATTTCTTATGAAGAAGTTAGTTTATTATGAGAGTTAGAGCACCCGGGGACCCCTTTTGGGTTTACCCCTTAATTTTTATCAGGTAGCATTTTAAATTTTAATTTGTAATGGCATTTTATTGTAATTTAAAAATGGCATATTATTTTAATAATAATAAACCAGGGTAAAGTTAGGGCTTCCCGTTTATTAAGAAAAGTTGGAATAAACATGTAGAAAATGATGGTTCTTTCTTGTTTTATCTTGTTCGCGGTTATGAAAGGAAACAACCGCACACCTGCAGCATGGGTTGGGGTCAACCGTCAAATGAGTGGTGTTGGATCAACCAGTAAAAACTGCAGCATTTGGGGTTGGATCAACCCCGTCCCCACCCGCAGATTTGGGGGGGTTTGGTCAACCCGGTTTACACCTTTCCGAATGGGTGTTGGTCAACCCGTCACACCTGCGCATGATGTTGGATCAACCAAATCCCCCTTTCACTGAAGTTGGATCAACCTAGTCCCCCCCTGCAGGGTTGGTGTTGGTCAAAACCCGTCACAATGCCCGCATGGTGTTGGATCAAACCCGGCACAAATGCAGCATTTGGGGTTGGATCAACCCGTCACACCTGCAGCACGATGTTGGATCAAAAACCGTCACACCCGAAAAACGATGTTGGATCAACCAAAAACCACCTGAGCCTGGTGTTTTGGGTCAAAACCCGTACACCCGCAGCATGGGTTTTGGAATTTAACCAGTCACACCTGCAGCATGGGGGTTGGATTAAAGTCAACTTTTTCCAAATGGGATGGTGTTGGATTAACCAGTTTACCCCCTGCAGCTTGGGGTTGGATCAAACCCGTCACAAACCCGCAGCATGGTGGTTTGGGTCAAAAAGTCACACCCGCAGCATGGTGTTGGATCAACCCGTCACACCTGCCGCATGGTGTTGGATCAACCAGTCACACCTGCAGCATGGTGTTGGATCAACCAGTCACACCTGCAGCATGGTGTTGGATCAACCAGTCACACCTGCAGCATGATGTTGGATCAACCAGTCACACCTGCAGCATGATGTTGGGACAGGCACCTAAAGTCAGTACCTGACCAACCGGGTTGTGGTTCATATGTCACCTTGCATGCAGCCAGCAGTAACAGCCTGGTTGATCAGACCCTGATCCACCATGAGGCCTGGTCTCAGACTGAGCCACAGGGGTGTTGATCCCCCGAAACCCCCTCCAGGTAAACTCCAAGTAAACCAATCACACCTGCAGCATGATGTCCAGACATCTTCAACTGACCAAGGTACAGGTGGGGATTGAACTAGCGGCAAGTGAATTGTAAAACTTCAGTCCAGCGTATAAGCGTTGGCAATATAAAAATGTAAAGGTCTTGATGCTTCTGTCCTCCTTTAGCACAGCGTTGTACAACCCTTATGAGTTTAGCACTTCGTTTTTTTACGATACGGCATCTCCTACTGAGACAGAGTGACCTACAAAGAAGTTATTCTTTTTAAATTTATTAATTTATATAGTAAAAGGTGTTACTAACCTCTTGTTGCCAGCATTTAGCATTTTATACTTGTAGAAATAAATATTTTTATTATAAGTGGGAATGTATTCTGGTAGACTGTCCAGAGAAACAAGATAATAAACTAAAGTTGGATGAACCAGAGAATCCATGAGAGATTGACAGTCAAAACCTATTAATAAAATTGAAAGAAACCCAAATTACCTCAGTGTACAAAAAGTACATCCAGTATTGCCCCCTCCCCCCCCCCTTTGCCCACCATGACAAAGTTTACATACAAAATAAGGATGGAGGAACACTGTAGGAGGCCTACTGGCCCAGCCTAGTCCCTCAAGGGAGGTTCCTTGATGCTAGGGAGGGGCTCCTGATCTAAGGAATTGGATCTGTGCTCCAGTTCCCTGAATTAAGCCTGGATACCACCCATTCCCCCCACAGGCACTGTATAATCCAACGGGTTTAACGATTCCCCCTTTACAATAACAATAATGGCCCATGCTAGGCAGGTCTACTATAAGCCTCAGGCCTAGTCTGCCAGAACTGTTCATGTAAGCGATGTTATTTGTACTTAATATTGCGTGGGATCCTTTTTTATTATATTATACGGGAACTACATTGTATACTATGCACAGAAATCAAAATTTTGAGTTGCTGGCATTTCAATATGTCTGTTCTCAAAAATGTGATAAAAATATTGGAAACACACCAAGGGACTGGCAGGGATTGAACCCTTGGTGAGTAGTGACCCATGCTAACCTTTCTATGGGGTATAAGTACACCTAGTTGGATGAATATTGTAGCCAGCTGGTACAGTTGTTAATGCACTGTCCTGCAGTTTTACCACTTGCCATGGGTTTGAACCCCACCTGTACCCTGGTTTATGACTGTTACCCCTTAAGGGAGGTTTTTTTTGACACTGAGCCCCTCAAGGAAGGTTCCTTGATGTTGGTGAGGGGCTCTTGATTTAGGGAATTGGATCTGTGCTCCAGTTCCCCGAATTAAGCCTGAATGCCTTCCACATACCCCCCCATCCCCAGGCGCTGTATAATCCTCCAAATTTAGCGCTTCCCTCTTGATTATAATAATAATAATTTTGACACTGATTAGGGGCTTTTGATCTAGGGAATTGCATCTGTCCTCCAGTTCCCTGAATTGAGGCTGAATACCTTCCACATCCCCTCACAGGCATTGTATAATCCCTACAGATTGAGCACTCCATGATAATGTATACCCATGTACTCTGTTTCAGACACAATGGTCATCCCTCAACTGGAAGCTGAAAACTCGGATGAGTCACAGGGATGTTAGGAAGTATTTCTTCAGTCACAGAGTTGTCAGGAAGTGGAATAATCTGGAGAGTGATGTAGTGGAGGCAGGATCCATACATAGTTTTAAGAAAAGGTATGACAAAGCTCATGGAGCAGGGAGTGAGTGACCAGTGAAGAGGCGGGGCCAGGAGCTATGATTCGACCCCTACAACCACATTTAGGTGAGTTATTTAAAACAATATATAGTAGATCACTGTGCTTGACTATTTCCTCAATTCAAGAACCACAGTGGAAATAAGTAGACACCTATTTGTAGTTGCAGAGTCGAGTCACAGCTCCTGGCCCTGTCTCTTCTGTGGACAATGCTGAATGACCTTTGTGGATTTAGTGCTTATTTATGATTAAAGTAAGTTTTCTGGGCAATTGGTGAATGGGTCATGCATCAGCACCTCATAGGTCTTAAAAAGGTCTGTTTTCGTTGACTCAGGTGGAGTAAATTCTCTTATAATTCTTAATAAAACAACTGTATTTCTTTCCTATGGTATACAGTACACTACAGTACAACTGTATTTTCATTATGGTCCTTGACTTATTATCATTGTGGTCCTGGACGTATTACCATTGTGGTTCTGGACTTATTACCATTGTGGTCCTTGACTAATTTCCATTGTGGTCCTCGACTTATTACCATTGTGGTCCTTGACTTATTACCATTGTGGTCCTTGACTAATTTCCATTGTGGTCCTTGACTTTTTATCATTGTGGTTCTGGACTTATTACCATTGTGGTCCTTGACTAATTTCCATTGTGGTCCTTGACTTATTACCATTATGGTCCTTGATTAATTTCCATTGTGGTCCTTGACTTACTACCATTATGGTCCTTGACTAATTTCCATTGTGGTCTTTGTAATGTTAAAACAAATAAGTAATTCAGCTTTGTGAAAAATTCAGTCACAACTGTAGAGTTTCCAGTTTCTTTGCCATTACCAGTCTTTATAACTTCACACTCCCTGAGGTTGAAGTCTAACAGCCACTTGTCAGGGTGTCTGGCCCTACCAGGGGTTGAGACAAGGTCTTCAACTTATTTTAACTGGCACCCTATTAATCCTGTTTCTCATACAAGAAGACACTGTATTTCGTTATAATTCCTATTCGTATTTAGACATATTTTACCTGGACTTCTGGAAGGTTAAATACTGTAGTATTGGTAGGCCCTAACAACCCCTAAATAAGGAAAGATTGTAGGTAGTCCCTAATGACCCTTAAATATGGAGAGACAGTAAGTAGCCCCTAAGAAACCAAAATAATGACTTGATAGTCCCTAACAACCCTTAAATAAGGAAAGATCTTAGTCCCTAACAACCATAAATAAGGAAAGACCTTAGGTACTCCCTAACAACCCTTAAATAAGGAAAGATTGTAGGTACTCCCTAAAAGCCCCTAAAGAGGGACTGATGTTAGATAGTCCCTAATCTGTAAATATGGACTGACCTATTCCCTATCAATCCCTAAATAAAGACTGACCTAGCCCCTAACAACCCTTGAATAAGACTGACCTTAGTCCTTAACAACCCCTAAATAAGCAACTAGTTTCAACATCCCTTAACACATCCAAGAACCGAGTTTTAGTGACCCTTAACAACCAGTAAACAAAACCGGTGAGTGTCAGCAGCCCTTAACAACCACAACAAGGAGTGAACAACTCTCAACCTCGTTAACAACCACCACTGAGAACTTCGTTAACAAGCTAACAGCTTCATTAACCAGATGAGTGAACTACGTAAACAAGAAAGTGTTGATGATACTAAGAAAATTGTCCACACTTATCCTTTATTGAGGGTAATATTGTCCAGTCTCTTTATTGAGGGTAATATTGTCCAGTCTCTTTATTGAGGGTAATATTGTCCAGTCTCTTTATTGAGGGTAATATTGTCCAGTCTCTTTATTGAAGGTAATATTGTCCAGTCTATTGAGGGTAATATTGTCCAGTCTCTTTATTGAGGGTAATATTGTCTAGTCTTTATTGAGGGTAATATTGTCCAGTCTCTTTATTGAGGGTAATATTGTCCAGTCTCTTTATTGAGGGTAATATTGTCCAGTCTCTATTGAGGGTAATATTGTCGAGTCTCTTTATTGAGGGTAATATTGTCCAGTCTCTATTGAGGGTAATATTGTCCAGTCTCTTTATTGAGGGTAATATTGTCCAGTCTATTGAGGGTAATATTGTCCAGTCTCTTTATTGAGGGTAATATTGTCCAGTCTCTTTATTGAGGGTAATATTGTCCAGTCTATTGAGGGTAATATTGTCTAGTCTCTTTATTGAGGGTAATATTTTCCAGTCTCTTTATTGAGGGTAATATTGTCCAGTCTCTATTGAGGGTAATATTGTCCAGTCTCTTTATTGAGGGTAATATTGTCCAGTCTCTTTATTGAGGGTAATATTGTCCAGTCTCTTTATTGAGGGTAATATTGTCCAGTCTCTATTGAGGGTAATATTGTCGAGTCTCTTTATTGAGGGTAATATTGTCCAGTCTCTTTATTGAGGGTATTATTGTCCAGTCTCTTTATTGAGGGTAATATTGTCCAGTCTATTGAGGGTAATATTGTCCAGTCTCTTTATTGAGGGTAATATTGTCCAGTCTCTTTATTGAGGGTAATATTGTCCACTCTCTATTGAGGGTAATATTGTCCAGTCCCTTTATTGAAGGTAATATTGTTCAGTCTATTGAGGGTAATATTGTCCAGTCTCTTTATTGAGGGTAATATTGTCCAGTCTCTTTATTGAGGGTAATATTGTCCAGTCTCTATTGAGGGTAATATTGTCGAGTCTCTTTATTGAGGGTAATATTGTCCAGTCTCTTTATTGAGGGTATTATTGTCCAGTCTCTTTATTGAGGGTAATATTGTCCAGTCTATTGAGGGTAATATTGTCCAGTCTCTTTATTGAGGGTAATATTGTCCAGTCTCTTTATTGAGGGTAATATTGCCCAGTCTCTTTATTGAGGGTAATATTGTCCAGTCTCTTTATTGAGGGTAATATTGTCCAGTCTATTGAGGGTAATATTGTCTAGTCTCTTTATTGAGGGTAATATTGTCCAGTCTCATTATTGAGGGTAATATTGTCCAGTCTCTTTGAGGGTAATATTGTCCAGTCTCTTTATTGAGGGTAATATTGTCCAGTCTCTTTATTGAAGGTAATTTGTCCAGTCTCTTTATTGAGGGTAATATTGTCCAGTCTCTTTATTGAGGGTAATATTGTCCAGTCTCTTTGAGGGTAATATTGTCCAGTCTCTTTATTGAGGGTAATATTGTCCAGTCTCTTTATTGAAGGTAATTTGTCCAGTCTCTTTATTGAGGGTAATATTGTCCAGTCTCTTTGAGGGTAATATTGTCTAGTCTCTTTATTGAGGGTAATATTGTCCAGTCTCTTTATTGAGGGTAATATTGTCCAGTCTCTTTATTGAGGGTAATATTGTCCAGTCTCTTTATTGAGGGTAATATTGTCCAGTCTCTTTATTGAGGGTAATATTGTTGTCCTAGGTATTTCATTATGAGGGTAATATTGTCTAGTCTCTTTATTGAGGGTAATATTGTCCAGCCTCTTTATTGAGGGTAATATTGTCCAGTCTATTGAGGGTAATATTGTCCAGTCTCTTTATTGAGGGTAATATTGTCCAGCCTCTTTATTGAGGGTAATATTGTCTAGTCTCTTTATTGAGGGTAATATTGTCCAGTCTATTGAGGGTAATATTGTCCAGTCTATTGAGGGTAATATTGTCCAGTCTATTGAGGGTAATATTGTCCAGTCTCTTTATTGAGGGTAATATTGTCCAGTCTCTTTATTGAGGGTAATATTGTCCAGTCTCTTTATTGAGGGTAATATTGTCCAGTCTATTGAGGGTAATATTGTCCAGTCTCTTTATTGTTTACTAGCTTTACTGAGATCTGTTATATCAAAGGTTTACTGTATTGTAATATTTGGGTACAGTGTACCTGGTATAACACACCAGGTACAGTGTACCAGGGTCTCATTGAACCCTGGAAAAATTCCAGGTATATCCCAGGCATATCCCAAGTATATCCCAGGTATGTCAGGTATATCCCAAGTATAACCCAAGTATACCTCAAGCATATGGAGCTTGCTTCTCCAGGAGGAGATTAGGAGGCTGAAGGTCCACCTCAATGGGCCTGGGAGAGAGTGTGAGGTGGTTGGAGATGTGGGGAATGAGGCTTCTAGCAGTGAGGTGCAGTCTCTCTCACTGTGAGGAGGCTGTAGGTGGGGAGGTAGCAACGGCTACCAGCAGTGAGGTGCAGTCCAGCACCTGCTACAAGTGGCGAGTGGTAACCAGTAATGGGAGGAGAATCAGAATAAGGAAAGTTAAGAGTAAAGATTGAAGGTAGGAAATTGCTTCTCTGTTCTTCAGGATGAATGTACTTCAGTGGCCAGTGAAGGTAAGGGTACTACTGCCCCTGCTAACAGAGGTAAGCGCATTCTTGTGGTTGGTGACTCTCAGGTAAGATATATTGACCGTGCTTTTTGTAATAGGAATAAGAAAATGAGAGATAGAGTGTGCTTCCCTGGAGCTGGTGTTGGGGACATAGTTAACAGGCTGGATAATATCATGTCAGGTAATGGGAACAAGCCCATTATTTGTCTCAGTACCGGTGGAAATGATATTGGGAAGGGTAGGAGAGAAGAGCTGCTAGGTAAGTACAGGTCAGCTATAGATTTCATTAAGTCTAAAGGAGGGGTCCCAATCATCTTGCCTAGAAGGGGAGTAGGAAATGAATGGTTGTCTAGGGCAATTTGGGGTAAATTTTCTGGCTAGACAGATACTGCAAGGAACTTGCAATCCCATTCATTGACAACTGGAACAACTTTTATGGAAAACATGATATGTATGCAAGGGATGGGGTACATCTCTCTGGGGCTGGGGTGGTAGCACTTGCAAACTCAATTGAGAAGGCCATTGGTGAAATGCCTATGATTTTAAACTGATAGAAGATAGAGGTATGGGTGTGTGTGGGAAACAAGCAGGTTGCAACACTAGGGTTGGAAACAGTAAATGTATAAAAGGCATTCAGCATGAAGTTATAAATAAAGACAATAGATCAGGTCAGCAAACAAAGGGGGACAGCAAGGGACTAGCTCTCTTAAGGTTTACTATACTAATAGCAGGAGTGTAAGAAATAAGATAGATGAGCTAAGATTAATTGCAAGTGCAGGAAACATAGATATTATTGCTATAACAGAGACCTGGCTCAATCTGAAAGATAGAGAGATGCCCTCTGAATGTCACATACAAGGCTATAAATTATTCCACACTGACAGGGTCAACAGGAAGGGTGGTGGAGTAGCGATGTACGTCAGAGACAATTTAAATTGTTGTGTTAGACAAGATATAAAAGTAGAAGGGTCAGCCACTGAATCTGTTTGGTTACAGCTTCTCGAGGGCCGAGAAAAACTAATTTTGGGAGTGATTTACAGGGCCCCAAATCTTGATAGGGAGTGCAGTAAACTTCTATGGGACGAAATTCGTAAGGCATCTACACATGAAAATGTTGTGCTAATGGGAGATTTCAACTATAGACAGATTGACTGGAGCAATTTGACAGGAAATTTAGAGTCAGGTGACTTTCTTGATACGATCCAGGATTGTTTTTTAAAACAGTTTGTGACAGAGCCAACTAGGGGAAATAACCTCCTTGACTTGGTTCTTGCCAGTAGGGAAACACTAATTAATAATCTTGAGGTTAATGATGAGCTTGGGGAAAGTGATCACAAATCACTCAGTTTTAATATATCATGGAATTCCCCTAATAATGGCAATCAAGTCTCCGTCCCTGACTTTCGCTTGGCTTACTATTTCATAGGACTGAAAAATTACTTAGGTGGGCTGAACTGGAATGACCTGACTAAGGGTCAGGTAGGTGGTGATGGTTGCCGATATGATGCTTTCCAGGGCATAGTTCTAGTTGCTCAGTCAAATTATGTTCCAAATAGGGAAATCAGATCAAACAAAAATGATCCTAATTGGATGAACAATAGATTAAAATATCTGACTGGTCAAAAGAGAGGCATATATAGGCAAATCAAAAGAGGAGAGGGGCAATTAAGAAATCGATATATTCAGTTAGAGAGAGAAATAAAAAAGGGAATTAGAAAAAGCAAAAAGAGATTATGAGGTTAAAGTTGCAAGAGAATCGAAGGACTAACCCAAAAGGATTCTTTCAGGTATACAGAAGTAAGATCAGGGACAAGATAGGCCCACTCAAAAGTTCCTCGGGCCAGCTCACTGACAGTGATAAGGAAATTGTAGAATTTTTAACACATACTTCCTCTCAGTTTTTTACACAGGAGGATACCAGCGTTTATTCCAGAAATGATAAATTATGTAGAACAGGACGATAATAAAACTGTGCACGATTAGGGTCACAAGTGACATGGTCCTTAGGCAAATAGATAAATTAAAACCTAACAAATCCCCAGGCCCTGATGAACTGTATGCAAGGGTTCTAAAGGAATGTAAAGAGGAGCTTAGCAAACCTTTGGCTAATCTTTTCAACATATCGCTACAAACTGGCATGGTGCCAGATAAGTGGAAAATGGCAAATGTGATACCTATTTTTAAAGATGTGACAGGTCCTTAGCTTCGAACTATAGACCAATAAGCCTAACCTCCATAGTGGGAAAATTTATGGAATCAATAATTGCCGAGGCAGTTCGTAGCCACCTTGAAAAGCATAAATTAATCAACGAATCTCAGCATGGTTTTACAAAGGGGCGTTCCTGCCTTACAAATTTATTAACTTTTTTCACTAAGGTATTTGAGGAGGTAGATCATGGTAATGAATATGATATTGTGTATATGGACTTCAGTAAGGCTTTTGACAGGGTCCCACATCAGAGATATTGAGGAAAATTAAGGCACAATGGAATAGGAGGAGAAATTTTTTCCTGGATAGAGGCATGGTTGACAAATAGGCAGCAGAGAGTTTGCATAAATAGGGAGAAATCAGAGTGGGGAAGCATCACAGCGGTGTGTCCACAGGGGTCAGTGTTGGGCCCCCTGCTGTTCACAATCTACATAAACGACATAGATGAGGGCATAAAGAGCGACATCGGCAAGTTTGCCGATGACACCAAAATAGGCCGTCGAATTCATTCTGACGAGGACATTCGAGCACTCCAGGAAGATTTGAATAGTCTGATGCAGTGATCGGAGAAGTGGCAGATGCAGTTTAATATAGACAAATGCAAAGTTCTAAATGTTGGACAGGACAATAACCATGCCACATATAACTAAATAATGTAGATCTTAATATTACAGATTGCGAAAAGATTTAGGAGTTCTGGTTAGCAGTAATCTGAAACCAACACAACAGTGCATAAGTGTTCGCAATAAAGCTAATAGAATCCTTGGCTTCATATCAAGAAGCATAAATAATAGGAGTCCTCAGGTTATTCTTCAACTCTATACATCCTTGGTTAGGCCTCATTTAGATTATGCTGCACAGTTTTGGTCACCGTATTACAGAATGGATATAAATGCTCTGGAAAATGTACAAAGGAGGATGACAAAGTTGATCCCATGTATCAGAAACCTTCCCTATGAGGATAGACTAAGGGCCCTGAATCTTCACTCTCTAGAAAGACGTAGAATTAGGGGGGGATATGATTGAGGTGTATAAATGGAAGACGGGAATAAATAAAGGGGATGTAAATAGTGTGCTGAAAATATCTAGCCTAGACAGGACTCGCAGCAATGGTTTTAAGTTGGAAAAATTCAGATTCAGAAAAGATATAGGAAAGTACTGGTTTGGTAATAGAGTTGTGGATGAGTGGAACAAACTCCCAAGTACAGTTATAGAGGCCAGAACGTTGAGTAGCTTTAAAAATAGGTTGGATAAATATATGAGTGGATGTGGGTGGGTGTGAGTTGGACCTGATAGCTTGTGCTACCAGGTCGGTTGCCGTGTTCCTCCCTTAAAACCCTTTGACTGTTTCAGGGCCCTCTCTGAAACTGTCATTCTATGTCGCCAAATATTCGAAAAAAACAAAAATTATTTTTTCTTATGAAAATGTTAGGAATATTTTTACTAGTGTTTTAAGCCTAAAAAAAAACTTTTGCCATCAGTACTTACCGAGATATAGAGCCGCAAAGTTTGCAGAAATTGACGTGCGTACGGCAACAGCGGTGACTGCCGCCCACCTGGTATTCTTTTATTTTCTAATTCAAAGGTTTCTTGCATTTTCAAATATTTTCTTTTCCAGGTAACTTATGTGGCCTGTGAGACCATGTAAGGTTGCATCGTTCAAATATACACTCTTTATTTACAAACACAATAACAGAACAAACTTTATCACTATTAGTTTGTGTATACACTTGTTTACACAAACAAACAATACAAAACAATGTTTATTACTATTGTTCCATAATATATATACATATGTACAGTCACTATCCACGTTCCTAGAAACTGCTGCAGCTTGTGGAACTCTTTGAAACATGGGTATATGCAGAAGGGGCACTTCACACTCCTCACACATAAAACGAGTGTCTCTGCATGTTTGTGGGCGTTTTGTGGTATGCATACATACATAACACCTCTTCTGAGCATTTTCTGGCAGTAGTAGGAGGCAGTTGTATGGGGTAGTGATCACCAGGCCTCATTACGAGATGACGTCTGTGGGCGCTGGTCTATTGCAGGAGTTGCTCCTTGGTACTTTGCAATTATTTGTCTGATTACTGACAGGGCAAAATTCACCATATTTTGGTGTTTTGTTGGTCTTCAACTTGTATATGTTATAAGCATTTAGCATTAGAGATATCAACAAGATGGAAAAAAAGTTTGATATACCACTTATAAACTCTTGCGTACACAGTCTGCAAACCCAATCTGCATGTCACATTTGTCCACTAAGCGCATATTGAGGGTTGTAGTCCATGACAGCTGCAGGCTTTAGAATGGGTTCATTGGTCTCTCTGTTGTCCCTGCCACTGGGTACCATTTCGTTTGTGTGAACTGATGTCAACAATGTGACATCACGTTTGTCATGCCACTGAAATGCCATGATGTCATTGGCAGCAAAGGCTTGCACCTCACCTCTGCGAGTGCCAGCGTCGAACCTTGGCATATGTTTGCGATTACCACGCACTGTGCCACACACGTCTGTCAAGTTCACTCGCAAGAAATCATGAGTAAGGGGCTTGTGTACCAGTTATCAGTAAATAACATATGCCCCTTACCAAGATATGGTTCCATCATTGTTCGAACCACATCACCAGAGATACCCAATAATTTCATGGTATCTCTCAAAGTATTACTGCCAGTGTACACAATAATATCTAAAACAAGACCACTTCTGCAATCCACACAGTACAAATAGCTTTATACCAAAGCGTTTCCTCTTGCTTGGTATATATTGCTTGAATGAGAGTCTTCCTTTGAATAAATCAAGGACTCATCAATAACAAGCTTCCTGAAGGGATTAAAAATACATGCAGCACTTTTGTTTCAGGTACATAAACACATTTCTTATCTTATATAACCTGTCGCTTCTGTCAGGCCTGGTTTTGTCTGAAAAAGTGTAACATACGTAACAGTATCAGGAAACGATTGACACCTATAATGTCACTAAAACCTGGAGTTGAAATCAGGCGATCTGTTGTCCAGTATGTGGTGACAGTGTGCTTATACACATGTGGCATAAGCATTATTGTGGCAAAAAACAGGTACATCTCTGCCACAGTTGTCTCCTTCCACTTGTGTAGCCGTGATTTTGGTGAGAGAATTGTATTTGCCATGGTGTAATCACGTATGTATTTGTTTCCCTGACAATGAATGTCCATAGGGGTTCATCGAAAAAATAACTCAAAGGCAGTCCAGTTCACTGGCATTGTTCCACAAGTGGACAAGATGGCTTTATTCCACTTTGTGTTTCATCAAAGTCATGGGACTGGGAACAAACTCGTCACCGTCCTGCCAATCCCAGATGCGGTCTGCTGGTGGGGTCTGGATATTGTTACCGTGGTTGTGGCTGTGCAGGTTGTGGTGGTTGCAGGTTGTGGCAGTGTGGGGTAGGGTGAGGCTGGTTGTTCTGCTGAGTCAGCGCGTGGCTAGTAGCGTGGCCCGGTGATGGTGCCACATGGGCCGTGCCAACCCTCACTATCACCACCACTGCCTCTCCCTCACTGTCACCATTCATACCCATCGTTACATATTGTCATCTTCACTATCAGGTCGTGGTGTTGGGCCACGGGATGTGCTCCCAGAGTTTCTCCTTCCCCTTGGAACAACATATGAAACACTACCAGACCATACTACGTCGTACATACTGGCGCTTCACTGGGGAATATTCACTCTCACTGTCACTAGAACTGCTTTCAATGACCTTGAAATCACTATCACTATCACTGCTATCATCAGGGTGTTGTACACGATCAGATAGTTTCTCTTTCGTCTGGTACAGGCGAACGTGAACGTGAACAAGCCGGCACAGCACCAGAGGTCGAAGGTTGTGGGTCATCTGGGTTTTCGTCACTATTTACGTTATCCTGGGCACTTTTTTCGGAACACTCACTTGAAAACCCTTGATTTCACTGTCACTGACATTTTCATCGCTGTTAGAGCTATCACTTGGGAACAAAAGACCTCCAATCCGCCGAGGAGTGAGGAACTTCTTACCGAGAGGCATGGTGAAAAATGGACTGACAACATGGCGTTCCCACAATGCACCGCTGGGTCCCAGATTTTTTTCACAGGGTGCACACCGACCACTGGACCCATTCTTTTCCCGTGGTAGGCCTACCAGGCCTTTGGCGCTCGATTTGAAGCCACTAGAATTTGTGCGTTTTAAATACGTCAGAAACATTGGCTCGTAAGACGTATTTATACGTCGGAACAGTCAAAGGGTTTTAAGTCAATGTGACCTGACCTGACTAGGTTGGGTGCATTGGCTTAAGCCAGTAGGAGACTTGGACCTGCCTTGCATGGGCCGTAGGGCCTTCTGCAGTGTTCCTTCGTTCTTATGTTCTTATATGCCCAGGTATATCCAGGTATAATCCAAGTATATGTCAGGTATAATCCAGGTATGTCAGGTATAATCCAGGTATATCTCAGGTATATCTCAGCTATAACCCAGGTATGTCCCAGGTATATGTCAGGTATGTCCCAATATAACCCAGGTATATCCCAGGGCATATCTCATTTATAACCCAGGTATATCCGGTATAAACCCAAATAAAAACTCAGGTATATCCAGGTAGTAGTAATAAGAGTAATAAAGAAGAAATAATAAAAAAAAAAAAATGGACCCAGGATACTGCCTTGTGGAACTTTTATTTTGACTTGTTCGTAAAATAGTATTTTGTACCATGTGAAATAACCGCAGTGGAAAAAATGGCGAATTTTGAAGCACTTTCATGGAATTTTGCTAATTTTTTTCACTGTAGTTCTTGACTGTATTACATGTTAATTACTTTACACATGAATTAATTTACACGTGATTTGCATTACGCTAAATCTTGTAGGTTTAGCACTTCTTTTTGACTACATATAATTTCATTACATGTCTTAAATGTGAATTACACATCTTACACATGAATTACATTAATTTTGAAACCTGTAAAGACAGAGGATTTGAATTTGAAATAGAGGTATTGATTCTCCGTGTTTCCAGCACACCGACATGTCGGAGGAGATGAAAACGGAGACAATGGAACTGATAGTGACGGCGTGCGAAAAACACCAGACCAATAATGAGGTGAGTACAGGAGGGCCCTGCTTCACGGCACTTTTGGTTTATAGCGCTTCATTTTTATGGAGCTTTGCTTTACGGTTTTTTCACAAATACAGCAGTTTTCATTCTAGCCATTCTTCATGTATTCGGGACTTGCTACAACATTCACCACTCGTTATAAGCTACCGATGAAAATATTGTGAGGAAAAGTAATGTGTGTTCTGTAATATTCTTTTTTTAGGCCTATTTTCTATTCCTTGCTTAATATATGATAGTGTAAACATGTTATCAGGCTTTTATATGCATTTGAAATTTTAAAAAAAAGGGCATGTTTCACTTTACAGCAGTAACCTGGAACCTAACCTGCTGTATAAGTGAGGCCCTCCTGTATACATATTGGGGCCCTCCTGTGTACATACTGGGGCCTCCTGTGTACATACTGGGGCCCTCCTGTGTACATACTGGGGCCCTCCTGTGTACATACTGGGGCCCTCCTGTATACATACTGGGGCCCTCCTGTATACATATTGGGGCCCTTCTGTATACATACTGGGGCCCTCCTGTATACATACTGGGGCCCTCCTGTATACATACTGGGGCCCTCCTGTATACATACTGGGGCCCTCCTGTATACATACTGGGGCCCTCCTGTATACATACTGGGGCCTCTCTGTATACATACTGGGGCCCTCCTGTATACATACTGGGGCCCTCCTGTATACATACTGGGGCCCTCCTGTATACATACTGGGGCCCTCCTGTACACATACTGGGGCCCTCCTGTACACATACTGGGGCCCTCCTGTATACATACTGGGGCCCTCCTGTATACATACTGGGGCCCTCCTGTATACATACTATGTATATACACATCCATACATTCCTTTGGCAAAACAAAATGTAATAATCTTGATAGAAATAAAAAGGCTTGCAGAAAACTATCATTATGGGTTGTCCAGTAGCCATTTATTAACAAAGAGCGATGTAGAATTTCTTGAAATGTGGTTCTGGTTCTTTTAAACACTTGCTACTGTACACATACATAATCGTATGAGGTAAATGACACTTTATTTATTTATTTATTTATTTCCAATTTGTGCACACATACAGAGGTACAAAAAAAATACAGATAAGAGCAGTATGCCAAAGCCACTTATACTACTATGCATAGCTTTACGGGCTGGCTTAAAATTAACTTAAGATTAACTAAGCAATGATTATTATTATTATTATAATCAAAAAGAAGCGCTAAGCCACAAGGACTATACAGCGCTGCTACTAAGCAATGATGATTGCAATGGGATTGCAACCCATGGTTGTTACAGTCACTGACTACCTCGCCTACCATCAACCCAACACTTACTATTACCAAGACACCTACAATGATCAAGTCATAATAATACCATTGATGGATATAACACATCCTACCTTATTGGTACACTTGACTTATTAACACTGTGGTCCTAGACTTATTACCATTGTGGTCCTGGACTTATTACCATTGTGGTCCTGGACTTATTACCATTGTGGTCCTGGACTTACTACCATTGTGGTCCTGGACTTATTACCATTGTGGTCCTGGACTTATTACCACTGTGGTCCTAGACTTATTACCATTGTGGTTCTGGACTTGTTACCATTGTGGTCCTTGACTTACTACCATTGTGGTCCTTGACTTACTACCATTGTGGTCCTGGATTATTACTATTCTTAATATATCACTGACTATTTTTTATTTCCAGAATTTGTTCAATACGACCAAAATTATACATTTTTATTCTCTTATACAATCATGATTTAGTTTTATGGCTGTCCAAAATTCCTCACATAAGGATCTTCCTATAAAGTATTTTGTATATGTTATTCACCTTAATTTTATAATATGCTGTATTTCAGTTTATAGAGATAAACTTGCTTTATTGCTGTAAACTACAGTTTCTATACTATAGAAAGTGTGTTGTACAGTAGAACCTTGGTTTTCGTGGTTTCAATTATCCAGTTATTCAGTTATCCAGTCATTCAGTTATCCGCGGTTTACCGTGGCCTGAGAATAACTCTTAATTTTCCTTAATAATGACACTAAAGCACAAAAGTAGTGATGGTGACAGTTGTTCAAAGTAGTGATGGTGACAGTTGTTCAAAGTAGTGATGGTGACAGTTGTTCAAAGTAGTGATGGTGACAGTTGTTCAAAGTAGTGATGGTGACAGTTGTTCAAAGTCTGAGAGAAGTTGTGAAGTTCTTCCCATCACTGAAAGTCATAAAGTATAATTGATAAATCACACACAATAAGTGGAGAATTATCACTTTTTCACTGATGGGAAGAACTTCACAACTTCTCTCAGACTTTGAACAACTGTCACCATCACTACTTTGAACAACTGTCACCATCACTACTTTTGTGCTTTGTCTCCATTATTATTAAGCAAAATTAAGGCTTATTTTCAGGCCAGGGTAAACCACGGATAACTGAAACCAAAATCATGGATATGTGGGTTCTACTGCATTGCATTTTTGTTATTCACAAACATTTTCACTACATAAATTGTCTCTGCTGTCAGAGTGCCGCCCGGGTCATCAAGGAGACAATGGATAAGCGTTATGGAGCAACCTGGCATTGTGTCGTCGGAGAAGCGTTTGGTTTTGAAGTTTCTTACGAAGTCAAAAATCTTCTCTACATGTTCTTCGCTGGAAATTTGGCCATTGCTGTGTGGAAATGCTGTTAATGGAATTTAGGCTAGTGCTGTGTGAAAATGCTGTTAATGCGGTCAAAAACGCTTAAGATAATTCATTAAGTTCGGAGCCAAGAATCGACTACTGGTACGATAAGATTTTTTTGTTGCATATTTGTAATGAGTAAATCTTCGAAAAAAGCATTAGTTTGCTATTTTTTCTATAGTTTTTAATAGTCAAAACTAAGCTCTAAACCCACAAGGGTCATACAGAGCTGTATATAGACTTTGAACATTGTATAAAATTCTTCTGTATAGAGCAGGAACATAAGACCCTTTATATAGGGTGTTTCATCACTGGTAAAAGGTTCTTCATCCAGGGAGTTTGAGCTACTCTCTGCTTCCTTGGATCAAGCCTGTTCCTTTCCATTTTTAAAGGCGGTTATGTCCCCCCTATGGGCTTACAGTTCCCCTATGGGTTAAACACTGACACATTAGTAAATTGGAGTTACCTGGGTTTACCGGGGGAAGAGTTTGGGGGGGTCAACGCCCCGCGGCCCGGGTCTGTGCCCGGGCCTCCGGTGGTCAGGCCTGATCAACCGGTGTTGCTGCGGGCTCCGCCAACCAAACTTTACAAGCCACAGCCCGGCTGATCGGGAACTGACTTTAGGTGCTTGTCCAGTGCCACTTAAAAAGACTGCCGGGGGTCTGTTGGTAATCCCCCTTATGGTCTGGGAGGGCAGTTGAACATCTCGGGCCCTGCCTTTGTATGGTTTTCCTTAAAACTGTAGTGACACCCTTTTTTTCTTGGGGGAGGGTGCATCGTCTCCCAATTCTTTTTGTTTTCTAGGGGGTGATTTTCGTGTGCAATTTTTGGTATGTCCCTCTAGGATTTTCCGGGTTATATAATCATGTATCTCCACAAACACAATATAACAATTTTAAAACACAAAAACAATATAAAAAATGTTAAAACATCACAAACACAATATTAAAACCCTCACAAACACAAATAACAATATTAAAACATCACAAACAAATAACAATATTAAAAACATCAAAAAAACCAAAATAAACGAGTGAAAGAGAAACAAACGGGGTATAATGCAAAGCTGATCGACGGTTTTTTTCCCACACAAAGGGAAAACCTTCATAAATTTTACAAACAAAAATGTTTTTTTATTTTCAAATTCAAAATTGATTTTCATATTGTCGAAATATAGAAAATTCAAACTTCTTAAAGGCATTTCAGCCAAACAAAACCCCTGCAATGCAATAAACAATCCACGAATAGGGGGTCCTATTGTATACATTTTTACTAAGGACATTACCATATTTTTGCGCGGACAAGACCTAATTTGATTGGAAAAATTTGGGAAAAAAAAAAAAAGAAAAACGGTACTTCGGTCTCCATGACAGGGTAAATTTACAGTATTTAAGGTATTTTTTACAGTACAGTATTTTGGTATTTTGCAAACAATATTTATGGGGGGTATTTTAAATGCAGTGTTTCAAGTACAGGGCCCCCCGTTTCGATTTAACCTTTTTTGAGAGCTATAATAACGAAAAATCGAAAAAACGAATCAATTTTTCCTCATAAAAAATAATGGAAAAACAAATTACCTTTGCAAGACACCCAAAAATATGAAAAAAAAAAAAATTTTTTCTACATGAAAAAAATTAAGTTTAATGCAATAGAATATTAAAAATAACAAAAAAATAACAATGAATAATGACCTTTTCCTTTAAAGAAGATCTGGTGGATTGATGGGGTGGGAGGAAGGGGGAGTGTTTGGTTTAGAAGGGGGAATCCCCCTTCCCCTTAGGATTGAGGTACAAGTCCTTTTTGGGGGTTTACTTCCTTCTTCTTTCTGTATAGTCCCTTTTGGCTTAGCACTCTTTTGATTATAAAATAATAAATTCCCTTTTTTTTAATGCCAAGGACCGCTTGAGAGTCACTGGACTTCTATCCACAACTATCTGTCCATATGGCCCGTAACTCCGTTCCTTTATGACATTCCAAAAATGTTTCACAACATTTTCAGTGTAATAGTCACCAGCAGGCTTGCAATAGCTTTTTTAGGGTGATTGTCATCAAAAAAGGTTTGCACTTTAAGCCACATTGCAACATTTCCTTAATCTTTGAAGTAGGCAACTTCTTCAATTTCTCTCTCCCCTCCTCTGAAGCAGTTTCCTCAGGTGTGGCCTCTTGCTCTTGAAGATGATTTTGCAGCATCAGTGGTTAGTTCTTAAAATGTCCTCCTCCCCCAACTCTTCCACATCCTCCCCACTAACCTCCAACCCAAGGACTTCCCCAATGCCAAAAATGGATTCCTCAACTGGCATAGGATTCTCAGGGTTAGCCTTAAATCCTTCAAAATCCCTTTTTTTCTACACATTTCTGGCCACAGTTTTTTCCAAGCAGAGTTCAAGGTCCCTTAGTTCACTTCCTCCCAAGCTGTACCTAAAAGGGTTTTTATACAATTGAGGATATTAAAGTGATCTCTCCAAAAAACTCTTTTAGGTCAGTTGAGTTTCTGTGGTCACTACAAAAGCACTTTTGAAACATAGCTTTTGTGTACAGTTTCTTGAAGTTGGAAAAGACCTGCTGGTCCATGGGCTGCAGGAAAGCGTGGTATTAGAAGGCAAAAACTTGACCTTAATGAAGCTCATGTCCCCAGAAAGTCACTCTGCCAAGTCTGTAGGATGACCAGGGGAAATTGTCTAATACCAGGGAGCATTAAGGTCTAATTTCTTTTCAATTAGGTAATTTTTCCACAGTGGGGCAAATGCATGGTGAAAACCAGTCAAAAAAAAAGTCCCAAAGTAAACCCATGCCTTACTGTTTGCCCTCCACAGCACACACAACCCTTGAGGACATTGTTTTTCCTGAACACACTGGAAGTTTCAGAGTGATACCCCAAAAAGGCTTCACTTTGCAATCACTACTAGCATTGGCACACATCAAAAACAGAGAAAGCCTGTCTTTCATAGGCTTATGTCCCTGGGAGTGCCTTTTCCTCCTGAGTAATGTAGGTCCTGCTTGGCATCTTCTTCCAAAACAAGCCTGCTTCGTCAAAAATTTAAAAACACTTGTTCAGGTTTTAAATCTTCACTGTCTGTGTAATCCTTGAATTCCCTCAATATTTTTCAGCTGCTTTTTGGTCCAAACTGGCAGCCTCACCATGCCTTATCACACTATGTATGCCACTACGATTCTTAAATCTTTAAAAACCAAACCTTTGCTGGCCTTAAATTCACCCCACATCAGCACTAGTTGCAAGCAATTTCTTAACCAAATCGTCATGCAACTGCCTAGCCTTTTCAAAAATGATCGCTTGGGGAGATGCTATCTCCTGCTATCTGTTTTTCATTTATCCACACCAATAACAGTCTCTCAACATTTTCTAACACTTGCGGTCGCTGTTTTGTAATCACAGTTGCACCTTTTGCAAGAACAGCTTCCTTGATTGCCGTTTTCCTGGTCACTATAGTAGAGATGGTTGATTGGGGTTTACTATACAACCTGACCAGCTCCGACACACGCACTCCACTTTCGTACTTTGCAATTATCTCTTTCTTCATTTCAATAGCCATTAGCACCTTTTTTCTCGAAAGGTTGGCACTAGAAGCTTTCTTGGGGCCCATGGTGACTTAGTTTGCAGAAACAAGCACCAAAAACAGTGATAATGTGGAATGTACCGAATGTATCCTTAGATGCGCGCACACTGACTTGCTTGTAAACACTGGCACACATGGGGCAGTTCAGGCCACACGTAGACACGTCTCGTACGAATCGCATTGAATACTGGGTTTTCGATCAGATACCGAGGCAAATTTTTGCGATAAAATTTCATCGAATACCGGATTTATCGAAAAACTGGGGGTCCACTGTATTTATGGTACGTATTTTGCAGTATAGTATTTACAGTACAGTATTTACAGTATTTTACAGTATGCTATTTTACAATACAGCGCATGTAAATTTTACATTATGGTATTTTATGGTACAGCTTCTCCTTGCTTAACAATAGAGTTTCTGTTCCTAAGACCATGTTGGTGGGAATTTAAAATTCGTGGCTAAATGAGGAGTGGTAATGGTAAATGGTTTTTGTTTCAAACCATCTCTGATATTGTTTTTAATGTCACCTTTGCACAATTTATAACATTTCTGGTATATTTTTAAATGTTTATACAGTAGTTTACTGTATATTTAATGAACAGAATAGAGGAAATCACTCTAATATACATTATTTAAGTAGGCATGCGGTCAGAGAGCCCATCACAAGTTTGAAGTTTGTCAGTAAACAAGTACAGTGGACCCCCCCCGGGTTAACGAAATTTTTTTTTACTCCAGAAGTATGTTCAGGTGCCAGTAACTGACCGAATTTGTTCCCATAAGAATATTGTGAAGTGATTAGTCCATTTCAGACCCCCAAACATACACGTACAAACGCACTTACATAAATACACTTACATAATTGGTCGCATTCGGAGGTTTAAACGTTATGCGGGGGTCCACTGTACGTCGCTAAGTGAGGAGAAGCCGTATTTACAGTATTTTACGGTATCTCTTCAGCACTGTAAAACACTGTAAATGCTTGCGATTCACTTGTTTCAATGAGTGTATAATAAATGTATATGTCAGTATATTAAATATAAGAAAATTATTTGGGTTATTGTCTAGTAAATTTGTGTAAAAATTTTAGCTAGATGACGTTCAATTCTAGAATTTGAATCATCAACTCAGTTTCGCATTCTAATGTCTAAAAAATCAGTTACAGTGGACCCCCACTTAACGATCACCTCCCAATGCGACCAATTATGTAAGTGTATTTATGTAAGTGCGTTTGTACGTGTATGTTTGGGGGTCTGAAATGGACTAATCTACGTGTACTTCACAGTATTCCTTATGGGAACAAATTCGGTTAGTACTGGCACCTGAACATACTTCTGGAATGAAAAAATATCGTTAACCGGGGGTCCACTGTACGTATTTGGAAAAATGACGTAATGGAATCCGAGGAAATGGAGTCATTGAATTTGACGAAATGTGGGCAAAATGTAGTCGGTGTATGATCACATTAAAAGCGTTTGTGGAGTGTTGGAACCGAAGTTAAACAGGTGCTTGCAAGGCCTCGTAGTGCATATTGCTTAATTTTCAATGCACTTTTTACATTATTATTATCATAATCATAAGCAAGCACATCGCTTGCGATGTGCTTGCACACTTTTTCACAATCCCACAAAAAATTCCACTAGCTTTAAAAGAGAGACTCCTGTACCACAGTAAGTCAAATACTTAATAAGCAGTGTAGCCATACATAAGCCTACAGAGTAGCCATACATAAGCCTACAGAGTAGCCATACATAAG